TGCAGATGGCAACCGAAATTGCAGCAGTCCTTACAAGGAGGCAAACCCATGAGGACAGATGTGATATTGACTTGCAATAATCTTGGTGGTAATGAGATAGTCCATTCGAGTGTCATTAAGATGTGTGGGAGGCAAGTAGTTGGTCACAACAGAGATGTGAGGAAAAGTCAAGGACGTCCTATTCTCCATAAGGGTAAAAAGATGACTTTTCATTACCATTCGGTGGTTTGTAGGCGGTTGGAGAAGGTTGCTGAAGGAGATGTCAAACTTGGAATTTATGAGGTTGCTTTTGGTAAACATTTAGAGTTTGACACAAATACTGAAGGTATGCTTGTGGCTGCGCAAGACATGCATGGGTTGAAGAATGAGAGCCCGAGGGTTAAGTTTGAGGATGACTCAAATTTAACTAAAATTCTTTATTAATTTGTTTTCTGTTGGAGATGATGATGGCGCTATTTTTATTACTCACATTGTGTTGAAGAAAGACTCTTTATGATGTTGTCTTATCATTTCTACTAAGGCGGAGAAATTTTGCCAATGATGGAGTTTTGTGGCTCATTCGAAATTTTTGCCAAGGTGGAGAATTTTCGCCAAGATGGAGATTTGTTGAACATATGGCTCAATTTGAGGCTTGCATCACCCATGATGTCATCAAGATTCTTGGCATCCAAGAATGTGTGCCCAACAAGTCTTTTGAGTGGTCACCAAGTAGTCTCATTTTGGTGTCCCATTTTGGCTATAAATAGCCTTTGCCCTCCATAGTTTGAAGCATCCAAGAGGCATCCAAGAGTAAGACAATATTCGGATCAAGAGAGTATATTGGTTTTGTGTGTGTGAGAAAATCATTTTGTGTGTGCAATCTTCAAGTGACACTTGAAGCTTGTCTTTGGGTGGGTTTTTTTCTTTATTTAAACCATATACTATTTAGGGTATTTCTTGAGTCTTGAGTGAGTCTTCTTTGTTGGTGAGTGAGTGATGTGAGAAGAGAGATTATTGTGAGGAAGAATCAAAACGTTCTTCAGTTTGTAATCTTCTTCTTTATAGTGATACGAATCATCATCGCCCGTGGATATAACCCTATTTGTGAGGGTGAATCATGTATAAATCATTGTCCCTTTTGTGTGTGCCTATTCATTTTTCTTGTTATTATTTTTCTCTTGTTCTCATAAACTCATATTTAATCCTTATTTCATAACAACCTTAGTAACAACTAGCTCATTGGTCCAATCCCTCCTAGTCTTGTCAGCTTATCCAATTTGACCTCACTGGACCTTAGTAACAATGGACTCGATGCAAACATCCCATTAGCCTTGTTTTCTTTGAAAAATCTCACCCGACTCTCCTTGCAGTCGAATCTAATCCGACATTCCATTTCTCCAGAAATGGGAAACTTGAAGAATCTGGTTGATCTAGACCTTAGTGACAACCAACTCATGGGTCCAATTCCTTCTACTTTAGGTCATTTAACGGATTTGGTATCTCTCTCCCTTGTTGCCAATGCAATCAATGGTTCCATACCTCCAGAAATAGGGAAGGTGAAGAATTTGATTGATTTGGATTTAGTAATAACGCAATCACAGGCCCAATCCCTTCGGAAGTAGGGAATTTGAGGAATCTGGTCAATTTAAGACTCCATTATAACAAAATCAAAGGTCCAATCCCATCAAGTTTGGGCCAGTTGTCCAAATTGACGTACTTGGACCTTGCTTCAAATCAACTCAATGGTTGCTTACCTCATGAAATGGGAAATATGAAAGGCTTGACTGCACTGGACCTTTCCTATAACAACATAAAGGGTACCCTACCTCAAGACTTAACTAAATTAACTGAACTCACATATCTGAACCTTTACTCAAACCAACTCATTGGCTCGTTACCACTTGAAATGGGAGCACTCTCCAAACTCTGGTTTTTAGGCCTCTCCAGAAACAATCTGACCGGACCCATACCAACTGATATTGAGAATTTGTCTAATTTGGAAGATTTGCGTTTGAACCACAACTATTTGAACGCCACCATTCCACCTCAAATAGCTGATTTTCCTTTGCTAGCATATATTGACCTTAGTTATAATTTAATTAATGGAGAGATACCTTTCAAACTTGGGGACAATACCAACTTAACATACTTGGTTCTCTCGCACAATAAACTCTCTGGTACCATTCCTCATTCTCTTCTATCCATAGATTCCATTGACTTGTCTTACAATGCTTTTGGAGGGTCGAGTCACACAGGATTTTCAGCTCAAATTAACTTGTTCGGAGTTGTTTCTTGGCAACAAAGGTTTGTGTAGTGACGACACCAGATTTTTGTCTTGCCTTCCACCTCCCACAACAAGCTGCTCCACAAATAAAAGAAGAAACCAATTTGTGCACTATGTCACAATTTTTCTTCCTGTCACATTTTTCCTCACCTCAGTTTTAGGACTATTAATGTACTACTATTCTCGATTTAAGATGAAGAAAAGCCAGCGTCAACCAAGGGTGGTAACCAAGCATGGAGATATATTCTCAATATGGAATTTTGATGGGAAAATTGCATATGAAGACATCATCGAAGCAACAGAGGACTTCGACATCAGATACTGCATTGGGACCGGGGGTTATGGGAGTGTTTATAGAGCACAAATGCCTAGTGGGACAGTAGTTGTCTTGAAGAAATTTCATCGGTTGGAAGGCGAAGAGCCAGCTTACGATAAAAGTTTTATGAACGAGGCACGCGTTTTATAAGAAATAAGGCATCGAAATATTGTGAAGCTCTATGGGTTCTGTCTATACAAGCGATGTATGTTTTTGATTTACGAGTACATGGAGAAGGGAAGCCTTTTCTTGGTGTTGAGAAGTGAGACTGAAGCTGCGGAGTTGGATTGGATTGAGAGGGTGAATGTGGTTAAAGGGATTGCCCATGCTTTGTCTTACATGCATTGCAGTCCACCCATTCTTCACCGGGACATATCAAGTAACAACATTCTTTTAAATTCTAAATTAGACGCTATTGTGTCTGACTTTGGCACTGCTAGATTGTTGGACCCTGATTCGTCCAATCAAACCGTGATGGTGGGCACATATGGATATATTGCTCCAGGTGCGTCAATGCGCCTTACTTTTAATTGTATCTACCCTTCTTCGTGTGGGAGTGGTGTCATCAGTCATGGCATGATTAGTGAAATAAATTAGTTTTATGTTCTATAAAAATATCATGCTTCTGGATATATAGCAATTTCTATTAGTTAAGACTTTTTCTCATATATTTCAGCCTGACTCCTTGGGGTTTAATTAGTAATGTCTCTTGAGTAACTTTTGAGGTGAGCATTCTAATTTAGAATCACATCCCAGAACTCTGTGAAATATTTTCTAACAATTGAGTAACTATCTTTATTGTTTATGTAGAAGTTGCCAACACGTAAATGAAAAATGTGATGTTTATAGCTACACTTTACTTTTAATCGCAGATACGCTTCTCCGTGTGGAAGGGAATGTGTCATGCTTGATTAGTGAAATAAAATAATTTTATGGTCTACAAAAATATCATTCTTCTATACAGCAGTTTCTATTAGGTATGACATTTTCTAACATTTCCGGGTAGACGCATGTTTCTATTGACAACTTTAACCAAAAAAAAAAAATGTTTCTATTGACAAAACATTGCAAGGTAATTTTTTTTTTTTTTGGCCAGCAAATGTGAGCTTCATGGCTCTATTACAATTTTGTTGATCATGTTATTGGCGCTAATTCTTTCCAGTCTGCCCAGAATCAACCTATAAGTTTAGAAAATAATTCGGATTTCACCATCTGTTGAGAAGAAAACAAAAATTTACATGTATTTACTTACTAAAAAATTCACTATTCTATTCATCTTTATACCGAGTAATTAAATATATTGACTCTTAACTTATCAAAAAAATATATAATATTTTAGTAGAAGTTATTATATGATTTCAGGATCAATGACCAATGGTCCCGATCAATCATTAATCAACACGTAAAAATAAAAAATAAAAAAAAAAACAAATAAAGTTGCCACTAAACCCGACACATTTCCAAATTCCAATTGAAATCAAGAGTTGGACTAATTTGCAATGTTTAAAATTGAGTCACAACTCCTTAACTTGGCAGCATTCCGCCTCAGATAGCTAACCTTCCTTGGCTATGACTTATTGACCTGAGTCTTAATCTAATTAGTGGAGATCTCTCTTACAATAACTTATTTGTCATTGCACATTTTCTTTAATTGTATCTACGATTATTATTTTTTATTATTATTATTATTATTTTTTTCTATAGGTAAAACAATTTATTCACACATATCGCCTCCAAAGGCTTGAATCTATAATTTCTCTTCGAGAAGTATGGGTCTGATTGTATCCATGATTTCTCTTCGAGAAGTATGGGTTGAAAATGAACGACGTTAAAACTTGATTAGTATAATAATTCAAGTTGTTCTACAAAACATACTTAATAAATGCGAATTATATGTGTATAATATACGTACACATCTATAACATTAAAAAAAAAAAAAAAAAAAAAAAATTGTTTTTCTTACAAGTTTTGAACATAAATTTTGTTTTTCTTACAAGTTTAGAACATAACAAAAAAGACTCATATTTTTAGTTAAATTTTATAATATTTGTATTAAACATTTTACTTATTAATACATTATCAAAATACTTTATGTAAATTCTTTACAAAATTATATTGCTTTAATTTTTTTAAAAATAAATTTTATAATAACATAAGTAGGGGTACAACACTTTTCCACTAGGCAACCGTTACTTGGGGATTTTTTTTCCAATTAATCCTTGTTATTTTAACGATATATATATATATATATATATATATATATAATTGCTCTCTTATAGGATCCAACCAACTTGTCAACCTAAAATTATTGTCTTAAAAGATATATATATATATATATTTAATCCTTGTTATTTTAACGAGATATATATATATATATATAATTGCTCTCTTATAGGATCCAACCAACTTGTCAACCTAAAATTATTATCTTAAAACCTAAAAACGAAAATAGTTGACAAGTTGGTTGGATCCTATGAGAGAGCAATTTGTGCACTTTTTAGGATAAAACAATGGTTTAGATTTTAGAGTGTAATATATACAAAACACATTATTTCTATTCTTTATTGAAAATGATATGATTGACAATTAGTGGTCAGTGTTTTTAATCACTTTAGTCCCGGTGACAATGGCCAGAAGAAGTTAGATGAAACAAGTCGATAGGCTAGATGAAACAAGTATGGAAGAGACGGTGGTTCGACCTCTTTACACTCAATTATCAACCTCCGCTACCGACTGCGACAATGAATTCCCGCTACGGACTTCGACGACAATAGATCTTTTTTCACCTGAAATAAGATCAACCACGTCTTACACCCACCACATGTTTGATAAAATGTCTCACTATATATATATATATATATATATATATATATATATAGCTGTACTGGACTCCTTTTGAGTAGAAAGGATAGATATGGACACTTCACCCTTAGTATGATGAGGCCTGCAGCAAAACTATTGCATATGTTCACCGTGACATATCAAGCAACAACATCCTTTTGAATTCAAAACTACATGCTTGTGTCTCTGACTTTGGCACTGCTAGATTACTGGATCCTGATTCGTCCAATCAAACCTCGATGGTATGCACTTAAGGATATGGTTCTCCAGGTATATGTATATTACAGCTTCCTGAACTTCCATCTGTAATGCCAATTGAATAGTTTTATAGCTTGATTAGTGATGTGCTACAAAAAATCATGTCAATTGACAACAGTCTCTAAGAATTTTCTTTCCTAATATCTTAACACTTCATGGTACATTTAGTACTTCTCTCTTTTCATATGAGCTCGAGCTTTCTACCACTGTACTAAATTTATGGATCTTGTTTGAATTAATTCTGTCTGTCTAGTCAGAGGCTGCCTTTTAGCTTTTAATCTATCCTTACAACATTACAAGGAAAAACAATTAAAAGTATCTGTAAATGCTTCACTATGGATGAAACAAATTGATAAATTAATTCCATAATATTTAATTTTGCAAAATTGTCATTCTTTTTTTCTTTTTCTTTTTCTTTTTTCTTACAGCAAAGGATAAGTAAAAGTTTGTTCCTCTTACATGTATATTTCTTATTCATGCATCACTTGCTTACTTTTTTTTTGGGTTGATGCAGAACTTGCCTTCACCATGGTTGTGACTCAAAAATGTGATGTTTATAGCTTCGGAGTTGTGGCACTAGAAACACTCATGGGAAGGCATCCAGGAGAACTTCTCCAATTATTGGCATCAACATCTGGTCAAAATATAATGCTAACTGATGTGTTAGACACACGCCTCCAAGCTCCAGCGTGCAGAGTGGTTGCACGGGGTGTTGCTCTAGTTGCTGCATTGGCATTTGCTTGCTTACATTCTGAACCAAACTCTTGGCCGACAATGCTACGTGTCTCTCAGGAGTGTCTTGCTAGCAGGTACTCACTAGCTAAACCTCTGCAGAAAATCTCACTGTCGCAGCTAATGAATCAGGATGCATTTTTGATCAATTAATTCAGTAATCTTTGTATTAGTTAGAATGACAGAGTTAATTTCTTGCTAGCTGGATTTCCACTAATTATTTGACTTTGTGCATTTGTATTACAGCGTCAAATAAATCAAAATGTTCGTCAGTTCAATTGATCAATTACATTTGGTGAGTGTCAATAAAAAGTATAGGTGTTAACAAACATAATGGTGAGTGTCAATAAAAAGTATGAAAAGATAGAGCATAGTTGTGAACATACATAATTTAAATGTTCTCTTAATTGAAAATGGATGATAATTTAAATATGAGGAGACTAGTATCTCCCAAGGATTGAAGACATACTCTTTTTATAAAACTTTGGCTAGTCACAGAGTTTTGTATTGGGTCTGAAAGTAATGGTAGTTTTTGCAGAGAAGGTAGAGGCTTTGTAAAAAAGGTTGAAGAAATTTGATTTACCTGAAGATAAGAATTCATATTGACACGGTGAAAATTGTCCTGATACGAATACAGTCCTAATAGAATACCATAGTCCTGCAATATATCAAAACTCCCCACCCACCTTTTTTGATGACATGTTCACGCTTGACTATTATTGAAATGTTGTCCAACCTGACTATTCGTGAGCAAACCAAATTGTAGTGATCCAAAACATATGTGAAATTTAAATGGTCAAACCTATGTGAACTTGTCCAGTAACAAAATATATGGTACCACACCTCATAGTTTTTCCAATTATATGAACTTGTTGATATTAATAAATCCTTGAACTAATTTTCTGGTGAAGTTGGGCTGCTGACTCTCCAATCTCCACACTTCACTCTCTAAAGATCTTAACCTCTCCCAAGATTTCTAAGTGGAACCATCCAAAAAAGAACTTGGGAATTGTTGATGAGTTGTAGCACTTGGTAATGAGTATTAATTTATAGAGCTGAAGTTAGCATTCCAATAGACATTATTAATATCTCTGATATTCTATGCTATATGAACCATGCTTATAACTTCATCAATGAATTGACAACTAGTTAGACTAGAAAATTTGGTTGCAGCTAGAATACGTGAACCACTCTCACAATAATCTCTCCAGCACCATTCTAGCCAGAAATTTTACACAAAGTCATTTTGGGTTTTTCCCTCCATCTCATCTTATTGTGTTCAAGAAGTGTTTCTCATCAAGTAGCTTTCTAGACTGGTTCACATCCTTTTAATTAGCATGAAGTGTAGATAAAAGAACCATACTGACAGGACTCGCGTAGCTTTAGTTGACAAAAAAGAGAAGCTTCAGTAAAAAAAAAATGTTATGTATATATGTATATATATTAATATTAATATTTGATAAAAAGGCAACAGGATAGAAACCAAATTACTAGTGGATTTCACAATGTCATTACTAGTGATACATTAAAAATACAAGATATTGATTTCAGGTGTCCAAATCAGGGCCAAACTCCTTTATAGACTCTTTTAAGTATGATAAGCCTTGCAACCAAATTTGCTGCATGCAATTGAATCTATTAGGGTTCATTTCACCGACACCCCCCTCAGGTTTGGCCAAATATCACATTGTAACAACTTTCGAAAATTACTATCACTCACATTACAAACGTTTGGTCCGTTTTTCACTCACACCCCAAGCGTCACTTTTCAACGGTGTCAAAGCCCTTTTTGCATGTAAAATGACATTGCTACCCTTTTGACTTTATGTTGACTTAAAAAAAAAGGTTGAAATGACTTGAATACCCTTTGACCTAAAAATTTAAAATTGTTCTTTATATATATATCATTTGCTAGCAGAATGCATCAAGACTTGGAACAGAGTTCATTAACAAGCCTAAAGAAACACCTATTGATAAGGTATAATTGGCCAACTATACCATAATTATATAGAAAAACTGTTTCCACAGTGACTTCTAACACACTGGCCGCGTTGTGGTGCCAAATGAGTGGCTGCTTAATAGTCTTCCTGTAAAATGAGTAGAATCTGAATATTTAGAAATCCTTTAAGCAAATTTGGTCCAAACACAAAGCTGGCAAGCAAATATCATCAATTTTTGTTCTATCATTAGTTGCAATACAGTTTTTTGAGTAATATGAGTAAACTCATTAATTGTTCATCTTTCCCAAATTCTAATTTTGTTCTGCACTAGGCTTTTACAAACCTTGTTTCAGATTCAATTTATCAAATTTAAAGATCCATGTCTGTATTGATTTTGCAGTTCTAGATTATTGCCATCAATTCACTGCACTTGAACCCAAGTTCTCATGTTTCTTCTCCTTGTTCTTACTAGTTTCTCTTGTTGTCCGAAGTCAAAAAAAATAAAAAATAAAAACATGTGGACAAACTTTCCTGTGTTTTACTTTTTGTTGAATATATGAAGTAGTAAGCCTTGTATTTGCATTGTTTGGTTGTTATTAAATGTGTCCTGAGAGACATTTTGCAGAAACATACAGGTCTTATTATTGTTCCTTATTCATCATTGTTGTTTCTTACTTATCTTGATCTGTATAAATAATTTCTACAAGGGTTTTCGTAATTATGATTTGTTTTGTAAGTCCCAATTGATCAAGGCTTCCACACAATGACTAATTCAGTGCACCAGAGACTCGTGTCAGTAATGATTACTTCTCTTTTTGTTTCTGATCTTGAACTCAAAAGTAACATGAACAAGTTACAACAGAAGCTATTTCACAAAAAAGAAAAAAAACTTAAATTGTTCTCACGACAGCAAACTAATAGACTCTGGGATTGCTCAACTGTTGTTGCCTTGCCAGTAATTGGCTTGAGGAAGTATTGGCTTCAATTCTATTTTCACCTCAGAAACCACCCTAGCTTTTTGAAGTTGCTGTTTCTTGCCTTAATTAACCCCAAAATTAAGGATATCATTAAATATATGCATCTAGCAAAACATGGATTTCCTTGGAGCTCTTCCTAAGGATGAAACCAATCAATTGACATTTCCTGGACCTGCTCTAACTGAAGAATTCTGCAGGATTTGCAAACGATGGCCTTGGTATTGCGACTCCAGCTTTTCCCGCAGCCACCATAAAGGTCGCTGCTATGCTCCGATCACCAGGTCCCCTCACAGTGACCTGGTTCCTCATCACCAGAGACCACTTTGGTCGCCTTTTCTCTCTCGACACCAGAACTTTGATAGCAGCGACCTCCATGGTCGCTGCTTCTTCTCATACACATGATCTGGCTCTATTCTTCTCGGTGCTGGCAGCGACTAGAAGATCGCTACCCTTTCTCCTTGTACCAGGTTGGTTTGATCTCCATGGATGGCGACCTGGTCGCCATCCTTTATCTGCAGAATGGGTCGCCAATAATGATGACCCACAGTAAGATCATTGCGATACAAGTCGCTGCTAGAAAACCCACAACCATGTGGTAGCGTATGCCGGCAGCTACTCCTGTGACCGCTGCGGCACCGCCGGTAGTCACGAGGAGAATAGTAAAAACGAGTTCACCGGTGGGTTGTCGGACAAGATGGGGCAAGGGTGAACGTGGATATAGATAGATAAAATTAGAGGGGGTGGTGGTGGTTCATCTTTGATGCATGTAAATAGTATATGTATATGTAACAAAGGAGAGTGAAATTAAACTAATCTATTAATTTCACATCATGGCATCCTCCAATTCCATTTCTCTAGGGCTAGAAGTAATATGTTCTAACTTCGAGGTATCCCAACTTGTTTTCTTCTCCAGGTACGGCTTGATTTCGGGGACGAAATTTTTACTAGTTGGGTAGGTTGTGAGGTCCTAGATTACCCTTAATATTATATGCTTATGTGCATAGGAATACGTGTCACGTGGGTCTCGGGATTCATTTTGATCATTTCTTCGAGTTTAGAACTCTCATAAATGTGTTTTAGACATTTTTACTCATTTTGAATTTTCGGGCCCGGGAGCTCCCATGTGGAGCCGTGTTTTCTTGCTCGCGAATTTTTTCGACTTTATTTTCACTGTCTTGTTTTTATATTAGTGCATTTATTTTTCATATGTGGCTAAGTGTGCATGCATATGTAAGTGTATGAGAAATAAGGGCATGGGGGTAATATTAAGGGTTATAGTGCTTGTTTGGCCGTAACAAATGGTATTAGAGCTTGACAAAGCCGAAAGTGTGCCGACGAAAACGTCAGGCCAAGGGGGTGGAAGGCGGGAACAGACATGTGAGAGGCAAGGCTCTGGTGCGAGTTATGTGTGCTCATATATATGTGGACTTGTTGACATAAATATTTCCTTGAAGCCTTAGAACCGATTTTTGGGCAAGTTAATTGGTGAAGTTGGACTGACTCTCCATGATTTGTTGTACAGTGATTTAGGTTTTTTCCTCCATCTCATCTAATGTGTTCAATGTATAGGTTCTCAATTAGCTTTTTTCTCGACTGTTTGAAAACAAAGAGCATGATCAGGATGATTTTCAGAGCCGACAATTTTCTAACGGAGTCCCTTTCTATAGCAGACTTGTTACTCCTTATGACTTTTCCAAAGCGTTGAGTGTGGGTCGAAGGACAGACACTTTAATAATGCATCAATCGGCTGTCTAGTATGCCGTGGAGAAAACTTCATCACAACCAATTTAGTCATCATATTGCTTTGGATTTTTTTCATTCTACCTTTTACATGACAGAGGGTCACAAAATTTAAATTTAAATTTATTGCTCAGTTTGGCATAATCCTTTTGAATTCTTGATATATATTTACTGTATGTGTTTGAACCTACTATTGGACTTGATTCACATCCACAGAGATTTTTAAACCTAATTTCAGTAAAATTCCTCTCATAGAAGAACTCTAACAAGCCCAATAAAAACAGAAATTGAAGACAATATCCAAATAATAATATCCTCCTTCGACTGCTATTTTTCATTTATATAGCCAAGTGGCCATGCCCAAAATCGCAGCTTCTAACTAATGTAAAATGTAATGGCCTTTTTTATTCAGTTTTTTGTTTGTAACTAGATATTAGTCTGAAAGTTTTCATTTAATTGACACTTGTGTAGGAACAGATATACGAAAACACAATTAAGGGAAGAACCCAATTTCATAAAATATTTTGGTTTTTTGATATTTTTGTTGGTTTCTAGAGTTCGTAAATATTATTGCCGGACAAATTGAACCAACACTCTGAACTTCCTGATCGATCCGAAAATGCTCTCTTTTGTTTTTCAACTAAATGTGAATTCGATCATATAGCTTTTCCAACTAAAATAAGTTTATTTCTTTGATTATTATTAATATCATTTTTTGATGGTAAATAAACATATTTTATAGTAAAGAAACAAAAGGCCATCGGGAACCAATGAGGCAACAAAATAAATTAGAGTCACAGCATAGAAGGGACCATTAGACCAACTTAGTAGTACTCTACTCTTAGATTCACTGGTTCGACTTTGGATGATGGATCAACTTATCACTTTTTCTATGAAATATGGACCTGTAAAATTGTACAAAATTATTAAAAAGGATTACATATACATATACTACATGGAATAGCCTGGTTAGAAAGAATAACATAATTTATTTAGGGAAAAAAAAAGGAAAGAAAGAAAAAACCACAAAATTTGGATGATTTCCAACTGAGATAGAAATTTCTCAAGTGTTGTTACTTACCACCCAAAATAAATGTATCCTTTTTGAGATTGGGTTAACTGGCAAATCGAATATAATTTAAAATACATAGAATTATGGAATTGAATATAGGTCTTGCCGTATTTGGATCAGATTGGACTTGATCCAAGTGATTTGTTTTTTACAGGAATGATTTTCTATTGGAGTCCCTTTCTATAGACTTGTCAGGTACTCCCTCCTTCTATGTTTTTCAAGGTGATGCTTATGGGTCGGCCACAAAGGAGACATACTTTGTGGCCCATAAGCATCAATCAGTTTGAGTTGACGAAAACACCTGGTCTAGTATGCCGTGGAGAAAACTTCTATTACCTCTGTCCCAAAATAAATCGTCTCGTTTGAAAAATTGTGACTCACAATTAACTATTTAGTCATCATATGACTTTGAATGAACTCATTTTTACCTTCTTGCTCATTTTGACTTATACTCAGTTAAACCATTGGCCTTGATTCATATCCATTGAGATTTTTAGAACCTAATTTCAGTAAAATTCTTGTTTCTCTCGAGTAGAACTCTAAGAAGCAGCCCAATACAAAAAGATATTCAATACAATATCCATCACCCTCAAATAATAATCATAATGGTCGAGTTAATAAACGCCAACAAGCTCATGAGCAACCGCATGCCCAAAATCTCAGCTCCTAACTAAAGCAAAATGTAATGGCCTATTTGATTCAGCTTTTTGTTTGTGACCTTGAAATTAGTTTGAAAATTCATTTAATTGACACTTGTGCAGAAACCGATATATGAAAACACAATTCAGAGATAAATTCAACCAGTCGATCTAAAATAAGTCGTGATATAATTACAGATTGACTGGTTGAACGTTAAATACTTTCTAAAAGCTTGACCACTGGTATTATCACACAATACACACGAAGTTTAGTAGGAAACTTGGCAGAAATTAGTGGAGAGGATGCCAAAAGTCTCTGGCTCGACTCCCTTTGCCTGTGTGAGGGCCGAATTACAAGTCTTCTGTAATAAGCAGTATATATTCTATAGCAACCAAAAATCCATTGTGAAAACAAACATGGCATCCTTCAAATATTATACAGTTGTAGTAGTAGCAGTATGGATAGCAGCAGCTAATATTATCTTAATGGCAACATCTTCTATTATATCACCATCACCATCACCATCACCATCATCGTCATCACCAGAGGCAGAGGCTCTTCTCCGCACTGGTTGGTGGGGGTACAGTACTGTTCCAGTTGACACTTCTGCAAGTCATTGTGAGTGGAAAGGCATAGCTTGCAATGAGCTTGGAAATGTCATTGGGATTGACCTTTCTTATTCCTACTATGAATTAGAGGGGCACCAGCTGGAGACATTGAACATGTCTTCCTTTCCAAACTTAGTAAGTCTCAATCTCAGCGGCTGTGGGCTCAATGGAAACATCCCGTATGAAATCGGAAGGTTGTCCAAACTCAATTACCTTCGACTTTCTAGAAATAATCTTACAGGTGTGTTGCCTCTTTCCCTGGCTAACCTCACCCAACTACTCGAGCTTGACATTTCTTTCAATAATGTCAGTGGCTCTATCCCCGCAGAAATTGGAAGGATGTGGAAACTTACATCTCTTCAACTTTCTAACAATTATCTTATAGGTTCGCTACCTCTTTCCTTGGCTAACCTCACCCAACTACTCGAGCTTGACATTTCTTCCAATCATGTCAGCGGCTCCATCCCCCCAGAAATAGGGAAACTTGAAACTCTGACATCTTTGTTCCTTTCTTCAAATCATTTGAATGGCTCCATCCCCCCAGAAATAGGGAAACTTGAAACTCTGACATCTTTGTTCCTTTCTTCAAATCATTTGAATGGCTCTTTCCCCACAGAAATTGGACGGTTGTCAAACCTCAATTACCTTGACGTTTGTTCCAATTATGTCAGCGGTTCCATTCCCCCAGTTATTGGAGAATTGACAAATTTAGTTCACTTGGACCTTTCCCAAAATTTGTTAAGTGGAACCATCCCAAAAGAACTGGTGAATTGCCAACGGTTAGAGTACTTGGGAGTGGGTGATAATTTATTGAGGGGAAGGATTCCGGTAGAGATTAGTCATCTTTCTATGCTGCACTATCTGAACCTCAGTCATAATTTCATCAGTGGAAAGATATCTATTCTAGCAAAAACTTCTGCGGAGTTAAATTACTTGGATGTCTCTCACAATAATTTTTCAGGCACTATTCCCAGTTCATTTAACTTTTCTTATTCGAGGCCAACCATTGACTTGTCATACAATGATTTTGAGGGAGAAATCCCACAAGGTTTTCAACTACGATCCAACCCATTGGAATTATGGGGAAATAAAGGCTTATGTGGTTTTGTCCAAGGTTTCCCTCCTTGTAACACAGTCGAGTCACCCGGGACCTTCATTTTGATTGTCGTCATTATTTTCCTTGCCTACTTATTCCTTGGAGCTATTTTCTTCTGCTGTAATAAGTTTAGAAGAGATACTCAATCAGAAGAAAGGGCAATAAAGAACGGAAATATGTTCTCAGTGTGGAATTATGATGGAAGAATTGTATACGAAGACATAATTGAAGCAACAAATGACTTTGATATTAGATACTGCATTGGAACAGGTGGTTATGGCAGTGTTTACAAGGCGGAGCTGCCTTGTGGTAAAGTAGTTGCATTGAAGAAACTTCACAGGTTAGAAGCTGAGGAGCCAGCCTTCGACAAGAGCTTTAAGAATGAGGTGCAAATGTTAACATATATAAGGCATCGGAACATCGTCAAGCTTTACGGATTTTGTTTGCACAATCGTTGCATGTTCCTGATTTACGAGTACATGGAAAGAGGAAGCTTATTTTGTGCCCTAAGATATGATATTGAAGCTGTGGAATTGAATTGGACAAAGAGAGTGAACACCATTAAAGGCATTGCACATGCTTTGTCTTACATGCATCATGATTGCAATCCACCAATTGTTCACCGCGACATATCAAGCAACAATATCCTGTTGAACTCGGAATTGGACGCGTTTGTTTCTGATTTTGGCACAGCTAGAAGGTTGTATCCTGATTCATCAAATCAATCTGCACTTGCAGGCACTTATGGATATATTGCCCCAGGTGAACAATTCTTCGATCCGTTCCTCTGCGAAAAAAAAAAAAAAATTTGATTTAATTAGTAACATCTCAAGTAGCTTTTGAGGTGAGTTTTCTAATTTGGAATAAAATCTCAAGTAGCTTCTAACAATTGAATAACCATCTTCTTGTTTGTGTAGAACTTGCCTACACTATGGTGGTGAATGAAAAGTGCGATGTATATAGTTTTGGAGTTGTGGCACTAGAAACACTCATGGGAAGGCATCCAGGAGAATTTCTCCAATCATTGGCATCAGCATCTACTCAAAATATGATGTTAAATGATGTGTTAGATGCACGCCTCCCACCTCCATCGCGCGGAGTGGTTGCACAGGATGTTGTTCTAGTTGCTACATTGGCATTTGCTTGTTTACATTCTGAACCAAAATACCGACCAACAATGTCACGCGTTTCTCAAGAGTTTCTTATTTTCAAGTACTCACTAGCTAAACCTCTACCGAAAGTTTCATTGTCGCAGCTGATGAATCAAGATATGCATTTGATCAATTAATCCAGTAATCATTGTATTAGTCAATAAAGAATGATAGGTTAATCTCTTCCTTCTTGTAATTCCACTAGTTATTTGACTATATGCATTTGTATGATAGTGTCTAATAAATCAAGATTTTCATGTTTTCAATTGATCCATTAAATTTGGCAGAGTAGCAGTAAAAAGTATGAAATGATAGAGCGTAGGTTTGTGATAAACATACAAATTAAATGCTTCCTTGTTTCCCCAGGGAGTGAAGACATATGTTTTATAAAACTTTGATGCTAGTAATGGTGGCATTTACAGATTACAGAGCAGGGAAGCTTAGGGGCTGCGTAAAAGGTAGAAATTTGATTCACCTGAAGGCTAGAAGTCAGACTGACATGGTGGAAATTTGCAATAATACAAATTCCGTCTAAATAGATTACCTTGTGCCATTTTAATCCTTGGATTTAGGGGTGACAATTGGGTGGGTTTGGACGGGTTATGAGCAGATCATGAATAGGCTAGTTAATAGTGGGTCAATAACCTATTATCAACCTATTTATGATGGGTAAAAAAAATGTTGGGTGTTAAAAGGACTAGTTAACACATACGCAACCCAATTATCCAAATATACTTAGAAATTATTTTAATTGTTGAATTCCACAAGAAATTATAAAAATTATTTTTATATTAAATTTATTAATTTTTGGGTCTCACTTGTTACATTTTTTTTCCTTTTATTTATTTGGAAAAAAGTTACTATACAACTTACTTTGAGAGTTATCATCGCCAATAAATAAATAAACAAGGAAAAGAGAGAGAGAAACGGGGGAGGAGGGATAAAAAAAAGAGAGAAGAGAGAATAGGAGGAGAGATAAAAACATAAAATATTAATATTAATAATATTGGAACACCTACACTTCTAGTAATATTATTACTCTTATAATTGTTGAGTAACAGGAAAAAAAAAAAAAGAAAAAAGTTTTTACATTAATTTTTTAATTTCAAGTGTTACAATTTTTATTATATTTGTATGATAGAAAAATGAGAGAAAACAAAGGAGAGAGAAGAAAGAGAAGAAAATATAGGATTTTGTTGAAGCCGGTACCCACTCTTAGTCCACTATTGATCTTTGAATTGAGTGAGTACTCATTTGTTACCCATTATGAACCTATTTACTTAAATTTTGGTACCCAAATAATTTAATTTTCGTGAGTTTGAGCTTAAATTATCAATGAGATGTTGACAAAATAATTTAGGTGAGTGGTTCCAATCTGATATTTGTTGAAGCATCAAAATGGGTTGAGTTTGTGGAAATGACCAGCTTCTTCATGACTTGATAATAATCATGAATAGCGTTGGCGGCAATTAGTGCAGAGGAAGACCCAAGTATATTTTTGGGCTGACTCCATGGTCCTGTGTCAAGAGTCAAGACCAATAATCACGGGATGGTCAAAAATCAACCCGTGCATGACGGTGGCCACGCATTACGGGTCATCTATACCTTGCTCTATATCCATTTAAATTTTGACAAACAGTAATCAGTATCTTCAATGGAGTGAAGAGATATTTCATTTTACAAAAATTGTGATTGCTGCTTAGAGTTCTGCCTTGGGCTGGCAATAACTGTAGTATTTACAGACCGCTAGGTTTTATGCCATGTAAGAAGTTGAAGAAATTTGATTTTGTTTACCTAGTAAAAAAAAAAAAAAAAAGCAAACCGAATTGCAGTGTTCAAATGATCTAACAAATGTGAAATTTAAAAGGAATATGTGAACCACAATCTTTATACAGTATAGCTTAGGCCATTAATGACCGTAGCGTTTTGAAGGAGGGTCCACAAATTATTTTAAAGCTTAATTTGTTTTTTTATTTTTATTTTCTAAAATATTATTTTATTTTATAATTAATTCCAATATATTTTAAATTGCATCCGATCACATTCTTCTAAGAAAAATAATTACAAAACTTTTCCGCCATGTTTCAAATGTGTTCATACAGTATCCTAATTGTCCAACTAAAAAATTAAAATATTCAATTCTATGACACTTCTAGCAATATTGAACCCGGGGGCTATGTCTCTTGGGGAGAAATACTTTATTGCTCTGATTACTTGATTAAATATTGACACGTAGTAATTGGACCTACTAAAGTAAAGTATTTTAACTTATATGAGAAGATATAATTGGTTAATGTGCAGGGAAGTCTCTTTCTTGGGACACTTCTTTGATGAGCTATGCACTTTCCCATGGAACATTAAAGCTTCAATTGGTCTTTCTATCCCATGTATCCACAACACGTGTATTCAAGTGTTTGGCATCACTACAATATGTCAACTGTTCACGAATAGTTAAATCTCAGCTCGTTAGAATCTCTATTCGAGCACGATCATTAAGTAAACGAGTTAAACTTTAAATTCATTTTTTAAACTCGTTTAATAAAAAAGTCGAACTTGAACAACAGTAAGCTCAACTTGTTAAGCTCATAAACAAACTTGTTTATTTAAAAAGTCATAATAGTTTAAATTCTTATATGTGTAACCCTAAATCAAATAATCAAATAATGCTATTTTAGCCCAAGCTCACAAATCTTTAACAGGCCCAATTACCACATTTACATTTAAAAGTCCATTAAAAAATAAAACCCATTACCGCAATAGCCCATAGCCCAACACTAAATTTTATCTGAGTCGTTAGATTGTTTGTGTCAGATCATTTACATAATTATTTCATAACAAAACCCTAAACCAGCCGCACAACCACGGTACCTTTCCAATCAGCGATCTGGTCACAACAGCAATATCAGCTCTTGGCATCCCCTTTCAATGGCGATCCCAACACCACAATATCAAGGTTAGATCTCCCCAACTCTTGTGGCATTTAACTTGTGGATGAAAATTTTCTTCCTCAATTGATGTCCCAAAGTTAAGAGTTAATTGAATGAGACGGTTGGAGTTTGAATAATGGATCAATCTCTGAATAGTTTAATAACGAGTTCATTGGCCACGAAGGGACGAAGCCAAAAGTCTCTGGTTTGACTCCCTTTGCCTAGTGTCCGTGTGGATTTAATTACAAGTCTCCTCAGCTTTCATCCTACCCTGTATCTATATATAATTTATATATATATATATATATATATATATATTCTACGTACAGCAACCAAATGCATCCATCCATTTATCCATTCTGCAAATAAACATGGCGTTCTTCCATTTATCCACTCTGCAAATAAAGATGGCGGTCTTCAAATATTGTGCAGTAGTATGGATAGTCCTTAATATTATCTCAATAGCATCATATATTATATTAAAGCCATCATTAGTCATGAGTTTGCCTGTCATCATCATTTCCCTTGCCTTCTTAATCATTGGAACTATTTTCTTCTGCCATAACAAGGTTAGAAAAGATACTGATCAATCTGAAGAAAGGGCAACAAATAACGGAGATATATTCTCAGTGTGGAATTATGATGGACGCATTGTGTATGAAGATATGATCAAAGCGACAGATGACTTCGATATAAGATATTGCATTGGAACAGGTGGGTATGGCAGTGTTTATAAGGCAGAGCTGCCAAATGGCAAAGTAGTTGCGTTGAAGAAACTACATCGGTTAGAAGCTGAGGAACCAGCTTTCGACAAGAGCTTCAAGAATGAGGTGAAAATGTTAACACGTATAAGGCATCGGAGCATTGTCAAGCTTTACGGATTTTGTTTGCACAAGCGTTGCATGTTCCTAATTTATGAGTACATGGAAAGAGGAAGCTTGTTCTGTACCCTAAGATACGATGATGAAGCTGTAGAATTGGATTGGAGTAGGAGGGTGAACACCATTAAAGACATTGCACATGCTTTGTCTTACATGCATCATGATTGCAATCCACCAATTATTCACCGTGACTTATCAAGTAACAATGTTTTGTTGAATTCGGAATTCGAGGCCTTTGTATCTGATTTTGGCACTGCTAGACGGTTGTATCCTGATTCATCAAACCAAAGTATACTTGCAGGCACTTGCGGATATATTGCCCCAGGTGAACTATTTTTCATATGCAATTTCAACATTTTTTTCATCACTTGGTTTAATTAGTAATGTTTCTTGAGTAGCTTTTAAAGTGAGCATTCTTATTCGGAATCAAATCCCTAAACGCCATGAACCATTTATAACAATTGATTAGCTGATTTTATTGTTTGTGTAGAACTTGCCTATACCATGGCCGTGAATGAAAAATGCGATGTCTATAGCTTTGGGATGGTGGCACTAGAAACACTCTTGGGAAAGCATCCGGGAGAACTTCTCCGGTCATTGGCATCAACATCTAATCAAAATATAATGCTAAGTGATGTGTTAGATGCCCGCCTCCCAGCTCCAGCACATGGACTGGTTGCACAAAATGTTGTTTTGGTTGCTACATTGGCATTTGCTTGCTTACGTTCTGAACCAAAGTCTCGCCCAACAATGCTACGGGTTTCTCAAGAGTTTCTTACTTGCAAGTCTCTAGCTAAATCTCTTCCGGGAATTTCGCTGTGGCAGCTAATGAATCAAAATAAATATGTGATCAATTAATCCTTGTATTAGTCAATACCGAATATGGAATGATGGGGTTAATTTCTTGCTGGACTTTATGCATTTGTATTACAAATCAAGATGTTTATCCGTTCAATTGATCCATTATGCCAAAAATATTTGGTGACACAATAAAATGTACGAAATGATAGAGTAGGTTTGTTGTAAACATACAAATTAAATGTTTTCTTAATTGAAAAAAGATTAGTTAAATCTGAGGAGACCAATATCTCCCATGGCTAGCTAGTCAGAGTTTTGCATTGGTTATGAGCATGGTAGCTGCTTTTAGAGACTGAGTAAAAGGTTGGAATTTGATTCACCTGAAGTCGAGAAAATTGCCTCTAGGTGAAAAATATGATAATACCAATTCCGTCCAAAGAGAATCTCATAGTCCAACAATGTATCAAGTGCGCAAATTGGGATGTAAACTCAAAACGCAATTTTTTTTTTTTTCTTTTCTAATTGATGCCAATTGCGGTACAAATTTGTAGGTCAGTTTCTAAAAATGAAAGACAGATGACAGAGGAAAGAGAGCACGTTTTATTATTGTTAATTATCTTTTTCATTTTTCCTTTAAAAAAAATAAAAGATGACTCTTAGTGCCAAGTCAAGGTCCACCACTTTTTTATTTTCTGTAAAGTCAGAAATGGTTGGCTTAAAAAAAATGCATTATTTTTGTCGAATGATACCAAGTCCACAGCATGACATTGACCATTCATCTGTTCTTGTTGACCAATCTGGTTGTTCTGTATCAATCTTAATTTGTCCAAGCTGACTATTCTTCAGCAAACTGAATTATAGTGATCAACTAATCTAAGGATGAAGTGCAAAAACCGCTGTAGTTTTAAAAGTATGCAAGTAATATTTTTTTATGTTCTATCATGTAAGTATGAAAAGTGTGCATAAAAGAATTTTTTATCAGGTAAATAATACGGAGTATCAGATAGGCAAAAAAATTATATTGTCCATTGCTTTATTAATAAATTACCTAAAAAAAAAACTGTCCGAAAGCTACACTGTATAAGAATAGGACGTGGCAGAGCTCAAGCTCTTCCTGAATTAATGAGCCTTCATGTTAGATATTTCAACTTCATTGTGTTGTTTTTCGGCATATTGACTTAGCAGAAGTGATAAATTCGTTCATAAAAAATGGAATTACTTTGAATTCACAAAAGTAAGGTACTTTGAATCTACAAAGTGGAGAAAATTTGCAAAAGCAATTGAATTAATATTGATAAAATTGATTAATTTTTTTGCTCTTGCAGTACATTATATTTATAAGAAATAAAACCCTAAAATTGTAAAGAAAACTAATAGCAAAAAAAACTAACTGCTTAAGAAAACCAACAATAAAAGGAAAACTACCTAATATTAAACAATCTAAATATTACAAAACTAAATAAAAATAAAATAATAAAAAATTAATTAAAACCGTCCTACATCAGTCCCTTCATTTTGAAAAAAAAAACTCGTCCTCCAGTTTCATTGGGACCAATCATATATGAGTATGAACAAAATTTTATACCATTGATGACTTAAGCGATTCACAAGTTTGGATCCACCTATTTGAAGACAGCTCCAATGAACTTGCTAGAATAAAACATTTCCATTAATCGCCTTGTGATTTGCTCGGCGGCATGGGAGCTTGGCTTCTAGGCCAGTATGTTGACACCGGATTGTGACATGGGCCACCCAATCAACACCATTAAAGGACAATAATTTTATCACAAGATTTGGAGAATTCATTACATAACTTTCACCTTTATTTAGGGGCTTCAACAGCCGTTTCCTTCATTCCCTTCATTCCTCAATATATAAAACATTATATTTATCATCAATGGCATGAAAGCTAGATACTGGTGCTGGATGGAAAACCTGTTTAGGCAGCATGCGTAAATTGGCCTTTGACAGATGGCGAGTGTCTCCATGAATGGGATTATAAGGAACAACTCCAAATGCCAGAGGACACATGGGTGATTTGTTAATTGTTCCCCGGGACAACTTCAAGTGAGCTATCATCGTTAAGAATATTTGGATTTTCACCATGCTGCCCCGACTCTTTCAGGAAGTCCTGGACATGAAATTTAGAAATTCCTTTAACCCAGTCATCAACTAATTCATATTGCTCGCTCTCAGTAAGGAAGTTAGTGTCGCCGTCTTCTTCTTATGCAGTGCCAAATTCATTAACTGCATCGTCTTCAACTACAAGAAGTGGAGCAACACAAATTTTCTTCCGATCAATCTCAATAACATCACTTGTTACTTGAACAAAATTATTTTCATCTTCCTTGATGTCACTCTTTTTTTTGTAAACTTTTTCTGTAGACTTTTTGTTAGATGGACTCTCTTTTCGAAAATTTTGATATTGCTCCTCATAATTTGGTGGCAAGAATTTAGCCATCGTTTCATCTTGTACCACGACCGCACAGGTTGTTTTCTTTGCCTCCTTCGGTCAATCCGTATTTGTTTTCACCAAATTGTAGCTCATCATTTAAACAACAAGTGGATCTTACCTGTTTTCAAGTACATCAAAAAATTCATCAACTTCTTCAAGCCAGTCCAAGACATATTCAATAATAACACTTCCATTGAAAGTAAGTGAATAAAGTTTTACCTGAAATTCACGATTGTTGCGTCTACCTTGATCACTAAATCCGAACTCCTCATCATCGGAATAATCCACATAGGCTGGAGGCCTACGTGGATATACGGGAACATAACCCATATTCAGTTGGTTGCGAGACACAATCAAACTCTATGGGTTGTTCTGTTTGCACAACCGATTTATGTTTCTGGTTTATGAGTACATGGCGAGGGGAAGCCCTTTTTTGGTCTTGAAGAAATGAAGTTGAATTGGACTAAAAGGGTGAATGTGGTGAAAGACATTGCCCATGCTTTGTCTTACATGCATCATGATTCCACCCATTCTTCACATTTCGAGCAGCAACATTCTTTTGAATTCAAAATTGAACTCTTGTGTCTCTAACTTTGGCATGGCTAGATTGTTGGATCCAGATTTCGTCTAATCAAATCGTGTTGGTAAGCACTTATGGATATGTTGCCCCAGGTATATCACCCTTCTTTCATGTGAAAGGGGAACTATTTTACTTGCATAAACCTTTTAAAAAAAGAAAAGAAAAGTTCACATGCCTTTAATTAATTTTTATTAAAAAAGAAATGAATTTTAATTTTAGAGTAAATGCTAGAGTAACATAACAAGTGATTAACCTAACCAATTGAATTTTAATTTTAGAGTAAATGTTATAATAACATTACCAAGTGATTAAGTCTAGATCAATCAGATTTTTCAAGCTCCCCATTTCTCAGATACTCTTGGTGATTACCACTGAGATCAAGACGGATAAGGTTTAGGAAGGAAGAGAAGTTAAGGTCATTGTAACCCTAAGAACAGTTTTCTGTTTTCAAAAAACTGTACAAAATACTCTGCTTAGTTCAGTTTTCTGAAACTCAGTTATAAAAAAGCCTATTTTCAGATAACTATCTTTTATTGTTCTTTAAAAACTGTTTTCTATTTCCTGAATTCTTGAGAACTGTTTTCAAAGTTACAAACCAAGCAAGCCCTAAATTTTCCCAACTTACTGTAATGTTTAAGTTTTTCATATATATATATATATATATATATATATATATATATATATATTTGTGTGTGAGGTGTAATTTAAAAGCAAAAGAAAAAGAGAAAAGAAAAGAAAAAAAAAATAGGTGGGACCCACTCTAATTTTAAGTCCATAAGATGGGTAATGGGTCATGACAGACCCACTGTTTTTCTTTTTTCTTCTCTCTTGGCTTGCTCCCTCTCTGCCGCTTGCTTTTCTTTTTTTTCTTCTACACAATTAAGCTTGATTAATTCCTCATCTCTTGGTATTTTGAAGTGCCGTGTGCGGCAAATTGAAGCTCACGGCGAGGCCTACAAGTTGATAGGAGCAATTTCTAGTTTGGTGCACTCCTTAATTTTCGAAATCTAGGGCATCAATTTGGGGTTTTTCATTGCTTTAGAGGTAGGGGTCTCTAATACTCAAACTCTTGTTCCTTTGTGAGTTTCCCTACTTTAATTGTTGTCAATCATGCTAGATTTGAACTGATAATCTCTAAAATGATTTTAATTGTGTATATTAAGCATGCTATTATGTGTATTTGTTGTTCTACATGGAAAGTATGCCTAATTGTTGATCTTCTATGCTTGTTGTGTTCATTAAATTGTTAAAAATTGTTATGAAGAAGCATGCTAGTTGTGTAACATTAATTTTTCCCAAATTTTTATGGTATTAACAAGGCATATAACATGCATTCAAAGCATGCATTCAAGGCATGGGGTATAAAAAGGGTGAAATGATTTGAAAAAGATGAAAGAGGGATTTTGGAGAGAATTTGATGAAACGGTTTTTGAGAAAAACCCAATCGCCGCGGAGTCACCAAAGGGCCAGTGTGTTAATATAGCCTAGAGGGAACTAGGGAGATTGCCCTAGCGTGGTTGAGCTATCTGGGCCCCAAATGACGCTGTGGAAATGCCAAAGGTCAGGGATAGTAGCCAATCCTTCTCTCGGGTCGCTGCGGAGTCACCAAAGGGCGGGTTATATTAACAGATTGTGAAGTGATGATATTTTTCTAAAAATGGGGAGTAACATGCATAACATTGCATTCATGGCACGAAATTTATTTGCTTTGAACTTAGAATTGATATTGTGTTTTCCCGGCTTTGCATAACCCCAAATTCCTATTGTCCTATTCCTTATTTGGATTCACGGGGACACAAGAGGTGTGTCTTAGGCACCACCTACTGAGCAATTTTGTTCACCCCTTTTATTTAACATTTTTTACAGGAAACGGGAAAGAAGTGGCGGATGACATTCTACCACAGACTTAGTATGGATTAGGAGCTTATTTTGTTGTTTTTGTACTTGGGTCACTCTATTTTTGTAAGACTAAGCATAATGTATTTTGTACGATGACTTATGGATTTTGAATATTATAATTATACCTATGGGCTTGTAAAGCATAAACATTTGTTCTTAATCTTGTATTTTGGGACTGTAATTATGATACTTGGATGATATAGTATGTGGTTGTGCCACCATGGAATGTATTAGATGTTTATTGTGTTGGGACAGGTTAAAAAATGCTTTTAAACAGGTTGTTGTAGGACGATTTTTTTAGCGGAGGTCATGTCG